CCCTGCCTGTGGCACCACTTTGGATGGGCTCCAGCCAAGGGCATACTGTAGGGAGCAGGACCACAGGAGAACACGGGGGCAAGGTGGGCAGTGCCAGCAAGGTTTGCACAGGTCTGCTGTGGGAGGGGACCTGGAGCAGAAGACTGGCTGGTGAGATGTATCTGCAGGGGAACCTGGAGGCTGGGCACACTGTTAGCAAGTTAAGGAGCAAGTGTTGGCACAGCAGTTGTTCTTGTAGGTGTCCATGTGGCTAGGCTGGGGGACAGGAAAGGGAAATAGCACCTACCAACTCCTTTGTTCCTAGAGAAGCCTCCCAAAGACCCCTGCCCCTCTAGTACATGCTCTCAAATTAGTAAACTGACATTCCTCCAGTTTACCTCAGGTGTTTTTCAAACTGCTGCTTCCATGCTGTATCTCCATAGAGCTGTTTACTGTACTATCTCTTTAAAGTCAGGGACTTGGTTTCCTATTGCTCTCCCAGAGCCAGCCTGCTGATTTTTAAAATCCCAGGTGGTAATCCCCGCTGATTATAAGAACTCACAAAATTCAACACTTCTGGTTTTCAAAGCCAAATGTTATGGGGATTTGTCTTCCTCATGTGGGTTCTTCTGTGTGAGAGTCTGTCTCTCTACCCTCTCCATGCCCACAGCATCCCTCCCTCCTAAAGACAGTCCCATGGGTCACTTTAGCTCCCAACCATGTCTCTGTTCTTCCCACCCTCTTTGGCATGGCCTCTTCTCTACATTTAGCTGTGGAGAGTCTGTTCTGTCAGTTTTTGGGTCATTTTCTGGGTTATTTACACTAATGTGGGTGTTACCTAGCTGTATTTGTGGGACGAGGTGAGCTTAGGGTCCTCCTGTTGCATCATCTTCCCTGGAAGTCACCTGTCTAGGGTATTGTTAATCACACATACTAACTTAACCTTTTTCTTATCATCCCCACTCCCATCTCACAGGTATGACGCAAAAGAATATTATGAGGCACTTCCAGAGCTGAAGCTTGTGATTGATCAAATTGACAATGGCTTCTTCTCTCCCAAACAGCCAGACCTCTTCAAAGACTTAATCAACATGCTATTTTATCATGACAGGTGAGTTCCCACAAGAAGATGGTATTTCAGCCATGAAAAGTGGACAAGAATATCTTAAACCAGCTGTAACACACCCATGTAATTAGAATGCTCTGTGATCTGAGAAGCTAACCTACTCTTAGAAAGAAATATTAGATATTCTCTACTAACCAAGCTAGGAAGGTTTAAGAACAAGACCCACAAATCTGGTATTCTTTTTCTCTTTCTGCTGGTATACCCACCTTTCACAAACATCCATATGTTGACATTCTTATCTGTGGAAAGAACCATATAAAGGTTGAAGCTGGTTAAAATTCTTGTGAATTGAAATGTAAGTTTGGTGAACCAGCCATACTTGACATTAAGTAAAACAGAATTTTAAGTGGAATCTTAGCACACATATTTTAATGAAGCTTTTTGTTGGTTTGTGTTTTGCTTCCAATCACAAAAAACAGGTTTAAAGTCTTTGCAGACTATGAGGCCTATGTCAAGTGTCAAGAAAAAGTCAGCCAGCTGTACATGGTAAGTACATTGATGAGACCTATAAAAGGACCCAGTTTACTATGGTTAAAATTTTTGTTTCTTTTTATTAAATCTAAATAATAGGGCCCCATTATCAATCCAAAAAGAGAAGTGAGACAACTATCTAGGTTATTCAGATCAAAACTTGGCTTTTGTCACATTCAGGCAGAGGCTGAGATTTGACATGTAAGTAGTAATTGTGAATTTTTTAATATTCAAGTAAAAATATCACAATTCAGTATTTATTGAACACCCACCATATAGCAGGCATGGCCTGGAAGCTAAGATTATAAAGCCAAGTTAAATATGCATTTTACCAACTCGTTGATTTGACAGAGAGGCTTTGGGGACTCCTTGGTGGCAGGCACTGGACTAGGGCTCGCCACCAAAAGTGTGCATCACAGTCACCGGGAGCAACTTCTCCAAAACACGGCTGCCAGCCCCGCTCTGAGAGATGGTGACCCAGTAGTGGGTGGGATCACCATCAGTGTCTGAAAACTTGTTAAGATGATTCTCAGGCTGAGCCTCAGTTAATTAGGGCAAGGACTGACCCCTAGTCCAGGAAAATTGCACAGTAAGTACCTCTTCTGGACTACCCATGGAGTGAGGCTATCTGTACGATACAAATATATAGAAAGAGGGGAGGTTTCATGTTTGAATTTTAAAAAGGAAAAGAAAGGAACAAGAAAGACTGGGCTTTATTAAAAAGAAAAAGAAAAAAAAAAGCTAGAGCCATGTGAGTAACCCTTCACATGCAAGGTTATACATCTTCAAATAGCCTAGCCCTCTAGGAGCATTTAGTAAATGCTAATAAAAATGGAAATTTAGTAAATATAGAGAGGTTGATCATCTCTGATAAGAAAGACTTTCAGTAATTGCTGGAACTACAGAAGAGTAGATACAGGAGACTGCCTCTGTGCCAGGACTCCAGGATGGTTTTCTTGAGGTTGATGCCCTTGAGCTTTCTGGGCATGGTTTCCCTCGCTCATATAGTCTCCATTTTTGCCCTTTAATTCGAAAGCCTTTATACAGCAGAAGAGCAAGTTTCCATAGAATTTTCTCCTGCCCTTTGGACACATGACTGACTACTTCCAACAAAAACATGCTTCACTAACATTTCTTTCTATTCCTTTCCCAAAACAGGTGACAGGTAGTTCCTACAGTTATCCCATGGGTCCCATTGGGGTTTTAAAATAAGATCAAAGCCCATGCTGCTTTACAGACCTTATCTTCTGGTAGAATCATATCCAGTCCCCCAAAAATGTATAGACCACAGTAAATTCCAGCTAATGGCTCTAAGCAAGGAAGGGCAGTCCTTAAGCTGAGTGGCTCACTGCCTGCCTCCAAGAACTCAAAACAGGAGAAAGAAAGTGGCCAACTCAGGCTCTTTCCTCTTGATCTCAACTCATGCTATGTGTAGAATGGCTACAGAGGAAAAGAAATATAAATAGAGCAAGACAGGAAAATATGAACAAGGGCAAGGACAGATGTGAATGTCAGTTTTGCACAATGGATCTCTTTGCTAATGTTCTGGCCCGTATCCAAATATGCCTATCTCAAATCCCTGCATTTGGTTCAGTCTTTCTTGTTCATTTGTACAAATTGCAGTTTTTACTCTTAACAATAATCATATTGTTAGGCATAGAAACATGTTGGGAAGTCTATTCATTATAAGTTTAAATAGTTTAAAAAAGTAAAAAAAGGAGGTTTTTATTTTCCTCTTATTTTAGTAAGTTTTCAAAGTCTGAATAAACTGATTTTAGACTCTGTTTTGCAGTACTTGTGGAATAATGGAAGTTTTAGTTTTTCTTCTAAATGCTTATGATACATTGCTAATGGCTTTGAGTCATGCTCTGGTCATTTTTAATGAACTTTCATAGTTCTTTACAATATCATGAGAGTGTAAAATAAATAGCTTCTTGTATTCTTTTGGATAAAAATTATAAAATTTGGATATTATATATTTTTATTAAGGATAAGGCCTTAATTGATCCTGTTTTGAAATCCCAATGGAACATTTGGGATTCAGTATAAATCTACTGGAGCATCTTCCTTCAGAAAGAACAAAAAAAGAGAAGGAGGTCAATACATTCTCTCATTAGATTATTTGCTGCATTATAGCTGTCATTCTAGAGTAGAGTTTTTCAAACTATGATGTCAGCCACAGGTTAAATCTCTTGACATGGCATCTAGCAAACAATGAATGTTCTGTCTAAAGGGAGGTGAAATAAAAAATAAAAGCATGGGAAATATGGCTTGCATGCCAGAACACTGTAACCATAGCAACAATTACCAATTAGGGAATTTATATCCATGATTTCTCTTAAAATTAAAAATACTTTTTTTTCACTCTTAAATATATTCTAAATAGGAAAAAAGCACAATCTGCCCTATCTAGCTCTCAGCCGTGAAAGAAATATATTTATGATTCACTACAACTTACTCTTGTCATTTTCTCCATGAAATGTGCTTGGGTATACTTGGCCTAGCGTTTGTCATAAAGTTTGATGGGCACTCAGGCTGTGGGCCATATATATGTATGTGTTGTTTACAGAATCCAAAGGCCTGGAACACAATGGTACTCAAAAACATAGCTGCTGCAGGGAAATTCTCTAGTGACCGAACAATTAAGGAATACGCCAGGGACATTTGGAACATGGAGCCTTCAGATCTCAAGATTTCCCTATCCAGTGAATCTAGCAATGGGGTGAACAAAGCCAATGGAAAGTAAGTTGTAAAATGTCTCTAGAAAAAAAATAGCTTCTTACTGGATTTAAACACTTTTACACATTCTTTGATTTTGTTTTGTTTTGTTAGCAAATAATCTAATTAAGAATTTCTGGGCATTGGGAAGAAAGTATAAGACTGTATTAGGGCTAAAAATAAAGTGTCAATTTACAAGGGCTGCATGAGTGCCAAAACTTGTTATTTGATGGCAGATTGAGTAGCATGCTAGAACTTTTCCCAGTGCTATTCAAAAAGCTAGAAAATACTTGAAATGTTTTAATTCCATTTAAATTTACTAAACTAAAACAAGGTATTTAACTACATCGGAGCACCTTTCCTACACTTTTAAGTCCCAACCACAGACCACCTTATTCATAAATATCCCCAGCATGTTTAATAATTACTGCACATTTTTAGATGGGATCCAAATTTTACCAAATTCTGATTCTCTACAGTGAGGTTTCAGTTTGTTCCACAAAGTAAACTGAGATAAGCTAAATGAGAACTTTCAATAACACCTAGCATCCATGCTTTCTCTCCTTACTAAAATGGCAGGTGACTTGTAGAAATGTCAATGACTTCAGCTCATCCAAGCAGCCCGGTGCAGTTTCCCATAAAAAATATATATCATCGGTGGTGTTCAGACCAAGTCTTCACTGTAGATTTCCATCCCTCTCAGCCCTCATGCCCACTGCTTGCTCAGGAAATCTCTGCAAAAAAAAAAGGACCTAGGTCAGCTCACATGCCTTCTCTACTTCCTTGTCTAAGTAAGCCAGAGCAGCCCTAATTGCCTTGAAGGGAAAAATAATCACGTTTAGTAAAGCAACTCTTACCTCACAGTTTTTAACAGCATGGGGCTTTTACAGAGCAAGTTGTGTTGGAAACCAGGAGGAAAGATCACCATCTTGACCCTCTCTTTGTTCCTGTATGCATTATGTGCAATTTCATAGAGCTGCATGGGACAGAAAGACCGAGACTCAAAGGCTGACAATCAAAGGTGGTGTTTTTCTAGTTTAATTTTCCTAAGAGGGTACAGAAGCAGCCATCTTGGGGAGGTAGTCCCATTAAGTCAGAGACAAGGGAGTCTCCACTCCCTCCCCCCAGCTGGTTGCCTCTACAACTGAGGAACTGAAAGCTGCACAGCTCACGAGGAACACTGACGGGTCATCATCCTTCTCCGCCAACACCCTCCCTGCATGGGGACAGGAACTGCAACAGACCATCTCTGTTTATTGACATCCCATTTTTAGAGCTGCTGTGGGAGAGACTATATGGAGGTTCCCATAGCAGCCTGGGATCTTTCTATACCTGCAGATGCATGGAAGAGGAGCCAGGGTCCACCACAAACACACCTTCAGCTAAGTAGCACAGCACACTAATGCTTCTTGTATACGCCAGGCAGCATGGCTATTTAGGGGTGGAGAGAGTCCCTCGTAATGTCAGAGACCCTCCTGTGGGCTCTAATCAGACTGTGGCTAGATGAGAGAATAGTGAAATAAGCATGGCATGTTTCAGTCAGCACTGGGCTTAGTTTACCTTTTTTCCAAACTCCAAAGGCACCGTGTTGTCATCCTCACCATGTATGATGAGAAGGGGAGAAGACAGGGATTTAACGCTAGGGACAAGTAGAAGAAGAACAGTCTTGAGGTTTGCCTTAAAATACAGGATCTCTCTTTCCTTCTCTCCCAGGAACCACAACTTTGTACATAATAAACTTCATATAGTAACTGTTTCTTTCCAGGCAAGATTATCTCTCTTCTGTTTACTCAGACAATTTAATTAAGTATTTAATTAATTTAACTTATTTCTATGTGATTTTTTAAAATAATGAAGAAGAAAAATACTAAAAACACTGAATTTTTATACTTAAAAGGACCTAATCTTTTTCTTTATTCTACCTTATTTCATAATTTCTGGAATATTTTAATTAAAAGACCATATAAAAGAAAATAAAACAACTCAAAACCCAAAAATAACAAGAACCACCACAGGACTAAAGAGAACTCTTTGTAGCAATGTTTTACTTTCCCCCATAAATGTACAGATGGACACGTGATCAACAAGTTTAATCAGCTTCCTGGTCAACCTCCTGATTTAGTAATTCAGAAAGGCTACAGCAGGAAGACTTGTTCCTCACTCTAGCAACTTTCTCAAACAGTACTCCCCAAATTCTGATACTCATCTACCCCATCCCAGTGACTCACTGTTACTCCTGGGAAGGTTAGATCCCTCAGTTGTGCTGACATAGAGAAAGGACTGATAACAACGGCCCATTTGGAGGCACTCTTACGTTCTCCAGCTGCAAGAGCTAACCTGCCAAATTTTGGTCATTAGACCAAGTAATGTTAGGCTAGACCCCAGAGCTCCTTTTAAAAGGTCCTGATTTCTTATAGACCCTAAATCTACAACTCCCTTTACGACTTCAGAGAAAGTACTGAATTGGTGAAGTTATAAAATCAGACATGAGGAAAAATATCAAATACTAAATATTTGTGGACACGTTAGCCCATCTAAAAATTCTCATCTACCCATTCAGTAAGTCACATGATAGTTAACCCCCTCCCAGAATCCCACAGATATAGTAATGACATATTTTCATCATTAGCTTACTTTTCATCATTAGGGAAGACTATTTTGTCTTTTCTCAGGGCATCCATAAGCGTGCGTAAAAATCCTGGAAGTTTCCGGTAAATCTATTTTTTTAAAGGAAAAAAAATTAAAACATGGCCTATATCTGTGTCATTTGTTAGTTTCCTACATGAATTTTAGTAATGTAGACAATAGCAACTTACTACATATAATAAACTTTAAAAAAAAAACCTCATGAATTTAAAAGTAACTCGTGTCATTGTAGGAAAATTGGAATATACCAAAAGGAAGAAAGGAGAAACAAATCACACATAATCCCCACCATCCACAGATAATCACTGTTAACGTTTTGTTGTTTTTGCTTCCTATCTTTCTTTAAAATACAAATAGCACCACTATTTTTCTTCACACTTATAAAGAAGCAGTAATAAGCATAATCTAAAAATTGCTTCTATGATGAACAGAATTTACTGGTTTAGGTGTGAAACAGGATATTCTGATTAGTCAAAAATTCTGATGAAAGTATACAATACATAGCTAATTTTTTAAAGGATTTAAACATTAGAAACTGTTGAATAAAATTTTAATGTTGCAGTGCTTTAAAAGGGCAATTTAGGTTTTAACAATGACCACAGGACTCCAAATACAAAAATTATCATTCTAAACATAGTGAATTTCCTCTTCAGTGGTAAATTATAGTAAATAGAAGGCTAGCCTAATTAGCTTTTACCACACTGTTATTAAATCAATAAGTAAATTCGTTTACATGTCCTAAAAAACATCCATCTCAACTGAATATGAGGAAAAGACAGGAACCCTGAGCAATATTGTACCTTTGTCACAAAATTCTAACCCTACCCCTAAACTGTATCCCCAATGCATTCATTTCTCTCCATTCCCACTGTCACCCAGCATAATCTACCCTTCTCCTCTTGTTTGGATTGTGCCAGCAGTCAGTTGTGGCTCCCTGCTTCTAGCCTCAGGCTGCTATAATCCACTTCCCATGGGGAAGCCAAGGTGGTAGTTTTGATGTGCAGTTTGTGTCATATCACTCTTTTGTTTCACATTTTCGAAAGGTACTACCTTGGCCTTCGAGGCTGTACGGAATGTGGCTGCTGTGTCTCTGCCCTCTCACTAAGCCCACTCCTGTCCACCCTCAGGCCCTGCTGCCTTCCGTTCCTGGAATATATCAGGCTTGAGCCCATCTCAGGACCCCTGCCTATCTTTTCCCTCAACTCAAGACCTCCAGATTTTCCCATGACAGCCCCTTATCATGCAAGTCTCACCTCAGATGATAGTTAAGAGAGGTTTTCCCTACCCCCTGCTTCCCCACCACCCAGTCACTCCCTGTCACAGCACTACTCACTCCTGAGAATCAGCTTATTGTGTACTTGCCTTCTCTCTGTCTCTCCAGCAAGTATATATACTTCCTAGGAGGTCAGGCCACCATTTTCTTCCAACTGGTGGTATTCCCAGAACCTAGAAAAGTTCCCGGTACCTAGCAGACGCTCGGTACCTACTTGCTAAAGATGGAATGAATCTACTGTGCAAATATCCCTGGCGTAAACGGTAAGCTATTATCTGTCATTTTCTTCTTAGTGTGACTTGAATTTCATTCAGATTTTATTCCTTGGAATAGATTTGCTAAGAGAAAAGGCCAGAAAAGTATCACATGTATTCCTCCATTGTGCCTACGAGGGGAGTGGGGAGGAAAGAGCAATGTAATAAATGGGGCATTGCCAAAGGAAGGAGATGAGTACAGCATAGGGAGGCTGGGGCCAGGAAAGACAAACAACTGCTTCACAGTTTAAAAAAGAAAAGAAGGATATTCACTGTAGAAGCAATTTTTAGGTTATGCATATCACTGCCCCTTTATGGTATGGAGAAATTAGAGTTGCCAGCTAGCATAAATCATTTACTGTAGTCTCTTGCTATGAACTGTAGTGATAGAGAACAGCATCTTTCTAAATATAATGAACTTAAAAAAATGTGGTTTCCTGATTTTAAAAAATAATTCCCGTCACTGTAGAGAAAGTGGTACAGAATAGGTACGCTGGGTCCAGTACAGACAAACGTCTGCTTCACAATTTTGGGGTAGGCCTGCTGTTTTCAGGAAACTTCCATGTTTTCATGGGATTTGTTTGGCTTGCATTTCTTGCATGGACTCATGGCAAGTGATTTGCATTCAGGTGCAACCTGGAGATCCTAATACACCCTCTCATGTCCCTTCTTCCTTTTCCCTCCTCTTACCCATAACTAAGGGCAAGATTTCTTGTTTTGTTTTCTTTTGTGTTTGTCGTCTGATTCTGCCACCCCTGGGATCAGGACTCCTCTGACGGAAATTCAGTAAGAGAAGCCCTTCAGCAGTTCATCTCAAAGTCCAAAGGCATAAAAAGAAAGCAGGCCCAAGTCAATCTACTCCCACTATTCCTTACCAGCCAGAGACTTAGACTCTTGAGACTCAGCGGTCACACCATCCCCTCTAGCCCAGACTACAGTGATGGGCCCCTAATTGGTCTTCCTGCCTCCTGTCTTCTGGAATGCCACCAAATAAATATCCTTAAAAGACCAGTTATGCAAAACGTACTGTCACAAAGCTTTGGCATTACCACACAAGCTACTTAAAACAAGGAACTTCTATCTTGACTGCAAGCCCATCCACATCTGGCCACAATCTTTCATTCCAAAGGCTGCACAATTCCAGTCTGTCTGCCTAGAGTTAGAAGATGTAGGATTGAGTCCCATTTCCTCTTCTTATAGGGTGTGTGACAGCTGAGGAAGCCTCTGAGCCGCCATTTCACTCAGCTCTAAGTAGAGGCAGTGATGCCAAACTCAGAGAGTTGCTATGAGGATTTAAAAGGATGACAAGTATGCAAGATATTTCATGGAAGCCTTATATGACTCTCAGGTATTTTATAACACAGTTGCCCCACTCCACCACGTGCTTTGGTTCACATTCTCCCCTCCCCTCTGTGTTTGCTAACTGTTCTCCCTTACCTTCAAGAAAGGAACTTAGATCCTATCTTATGGCCTTCACTGACCATACCTGCACACGAAACCCTTCTCTTCCCTGAATTCTTCCTTCCCTGAAATTATTGTTCTGGATCCCACACTAGCACTTACCTTAATCTACTTTGCAATAGAAAACATGGGAAGGGGGGGAACACACATTGGTTGAGTGCCCACCAGCATCTGGGTACTTTGCAATGATTATCTTACTTAATTTAATCTTCTAAACAAGTGTAGGCAGTATCAACCCCATTATATAAAAATGGGAAAACTCAGAGCAGGGAAATAACTTACCAAGGTCATAATTGGTTAGTGGCAGAAGCCAAATTTCAACCCAAATCTGTCTGGCTCCATAGCCCATGCTGTTTTTTCCACCGTGTCACGCTGCCTTCCTATTTTGAGTAATGAAATTGATTCCAAAGTGACATATGGAAATCCCTGTCATTGTTTTATACCCACTATTAATTTCCTGTCTCCCCAACTAGACAGGAAGTTCTTGGGAGTGAGGACCCATGCCTTTCACTCTATTTGTATGTCTCACGCCACCTACATGTTCTTATTTAACAGTCATATTCAGAGTAAAGGCACTCCACTGATACAAAAATAGTTAATGGTAACTCAGTGCTTACTTTGTCCTGGGAACTATTATATTATAGATGCTTTTCATATGTTAATTTATCTAGTTATCACAGTAATCTGGAATAGGTTATTATTACCCCCATTTTATAGAGAAAGTGTTCAGTCCTTAAAAGCAATTAGTCCAAGATTATACAGCTGTTACACGACAGCCCTGGAAATCAAGCCAGCAAGTCTGACGCCAGAGCTGTGGTTCTTAAAGACAACATGATACTACAGAACTCCTACATTTCTAAACCATAAATGTACCTATTAAACTAAGGTCATATGACATTTTTAATCAAATTCCAAACTTAAAAATATTAGGAGATTCCCCATTTCTAATAATAGAATTGTTACAAACCAAGCCTTTTGCCCAAGACAGCTAGAAAATCTGGAAAAAAATATTTTAAAAACCTTTCTGTGAAGATGTCAGAGACCTACCAAGGCAGTGAGGTCTTGAGTGGTCTAGATCCCAGAGAGGAGGGAATCTCAGAGAGGTGAAACTGACATTCAACACCACTTTTCCCCTGGAGACACAGCAGGCAAGTCAGGGAAAGCAAAACAGTAGAGACAAAAGAACACAAATAGAAACAGATGACACAAATAGAAAAGAACATAGTAAGAAAGTAGATTTAAACCTAAATATATCATAACCACATTAAGTTAACTAGACTACTACAATTAACAGACAAGGGTTGTGGTACTGGAAAAGAAATCAAAACCCCACTATATGCTGCTAACGAGATATATGTTAAATACAAGAATTCAGAAACGTTGAAGGTCAAGGAATAGAAAATGATACATCATGCAAACACTATTCAAAACAAAGGTGTATTAATATTGGACATGGACAAAGTTGACTTTAAGTCAAGAAGCATTATTTTTTTTTTTTTAATTTTTTTTTCAACGTTTATTTATTTTTGGGACAGAGAGAGACAGAGCATGAACGGGGGAGGGGCAGAGAGAGAGGGAGGCACAGAATCGGAAACAGGCTCCAGGCTCCGAGCCATCAGCCCAGAGCCCGATGCGGGGCTCGAACTCACAGACCGCGAGATCGTGACCTGAGCTGAAGTCAGACGCTTAACCGACTGCGCCACCCAGGCGCCCCTCAAGAAGCATTATTAATCAACAAAAGGGATATTTCATGATAAAAAAAAAGGATCAATTTCACATGGAAGATATAAAATTAAATTATTACTAGATGTATGTTCCTAATAACATACCCTTAAAAAAGCTAAAGCAAAGATTGACAGAACTAGAATAGAAATAGCTCCACAATGATGATGATGAGACATTGTAATACTCTTCCCTGGGTAACCAATAAAACAACCAGTGAGAAAAATCAGTGAGAATACAGAAGAATTGAACAGCATGAGTAATCTTGACCTAATTGACATAAATAGAACACTACGCCAAAAACGGAACATATTCTTTACAAGCATATGGAACATATACCAAAATTGGCCATATGTTGGGACATAAAGCAAGTCTGAATAAATTTCAAAAACTGAAATTGTACAGAGAGAAATCTCAGATCATGATAGAATTAAGCTAGATATCAATGCCAAACATAACCAAATCCCCAAATGTATCAAAATTACAAAATATACTTGTGAATAACCCATAGGTCAAGAAAGTCACAATATTGTTTGTTTTTTTTTTTTTTTTGAGACAGACAGAGCATGAGCAGGGGAGGGGCAGAGAAAGAGGGAGACAGAATCGGAAGCAAGCCCCAGGCTCTGAGCCATCAGCCCAGAGCCCGACGCGGGGCTCGAACTCACGGACCGTGAGATCGTGACCTGAGCTGAAGTCAGACGCTTAACCGACTGAGCCACCCAGGCGCCCTGAAAGTCACAATATTATAAAATATTTTGAACTGAATAATAATTAAAATACATTTGAAAATGTGGGATGCAGCTGAAGAGTGGCTTCAGTGGAGTATGGCTTCATGAATAAATTAGAAAAGAGGAAATACTGAAATAAATTATTCAAGTACCATCTTAGAAACTTTTTAAATTTTGTTTAAAGTTTATTTGTTTTGAGTCTCTGCACTGGGTGGGCCTAACACAGGGCTTGATCCCATGACCATGAGATCATGAATGAGCAAAAATCAAAAGTTGTGTGCTTAAAACCGACTGAGCCACCCAGGCATCCCTAGAAACTTTTAAAATAATAAATTGAATCTAAAGAAAACAGAAGAAAGGGAATAATTCAGGTGAAACCAGAAATTAATAAAATAGAAAACATTCAGCATAGGTAATCAACAAAGTCTGAGTTGGTTCTTTGAAAAGACTAAAAAATAATTGCTATAAACACTGGCTGTCTCCCTTCTCCTTAGCCTTGGATAACCAAAGCCATTACCCCTAGAAGGTTATGTCACCTTCCTCCAACCTATCCTCTAACCCTGGGGATAACAGAAACAACCACCCCTGTTAATTCACAGCTTAGAGTCCCATGTGGATTAGACCAAAGCTACACTTTACCTGAAGTTACATCTTGTTCTGCTCTTTCCCCTTCCCTATCCTACAACCCTCATTCAAATGACTTTGCAGGCTTCTCCTTTACGGTACTCTCTCAATAAATCGTGACATCAAATCCCTGCCATAGGTTCTGCTTCTAGGAGAACCTGACCTAAAACTAAAATTAAGAAAACCTCAATCAGTCAACATAAACTTATAAATACCATGTTCATAAATTGGAAGATTCAATATTAGAAAAGTATCAATTCCCCCATGGTATAGACCTAATGCAATTCCAGTCAAAATCCTGGGATGTTTTTTATAGAAATTGATAAGCATATACCAAAATGTATGTCAAAATACAAAGGATCAAGAATAGTCAAGACAAATATTCAATAAGAAGGAAAAAGCTGAAGCAGTTACATAGCCAGATATTAAAAAAAAAAAAAACCTATATTATACAGCCATAGTACATAAGAGATTGCAGTATTCATATAAGAATGGACAGATAGACAAGGGAGAAAAATGAGAATCTACCAACAGACCCATATATATTAAGCCCTGATATGTGCAAACATTGGCTCTGTAGAGTTGGTAGGGAAGGTTTGTTTAGTAAATGATATGAAACCAAAACTGGATATCCACATGGACTGCCTCGTACATATACAAAACCCACCTGTAAATTATAGCTGTAAATGTAAAAGGTAAAACAGAATTTCTGTAAGATAGCATAGAAGAATATCTTCATAATCTTTGGTAACCAGAGTTTTATTAGGCAGGACACTTTTCTTAAAAATATTAACTGTAAAAAATAGTTGATAAACTGGTCTATGTTAAATTTAGGAACATCTCTTCATCATAAGATATCATTCAGGGAGTAAAAAAGGCAAAATAAGCAAATATACTTGCAGTACAAATAATTTTCTAATGACTTATCCTATAAAAAAAAACTTATCCTACAAATAAAAAAAGACAAAAAGGAGCAAAGACATAAACAAGTATCTTACAAGAGATGATATCTAAATGACTAATAAACTTCAAAAAATGCCCACCTTCATTAGTCATAAGGGAAATACAATGAGATATCCATACAAGGGCAAGGATATGAAGCAATTGGAATGCTCACACACAACAGGTGGGAGAGTACAGTAGTAAAGTCACCTTGGAAAACTGTTTAGCACTGTAATTACTAAAGCTGAACATATGCATATCTTACTATCCAACAATTCCACTCCTAGGGTATATACTTCAGTGAAACATATACACGTTTGCAGAATACATGTTCAAGAACATTCATAACAACTTTATTAATTACCCCAAAGAGAAAGCAACTCAAATGTCCATAAACAACAGGTCAATGAAGTATAGTATATTTATACAATGATATGCTATTTGGTATTATGTTCAATGTTATACAAATTATATATTTATATAAGTTATAAATTAAATTATATAAAATTATATTGCTCAGAGAGGCACACATAGGCAATAACACTATAAAGAGAAGCTTGGATATGATGACCATAAAACTCAGTGTAAGGATTGTATATCTAAGGTGAGCCTTATTGGATTGGGAAATGTCATACAGGAGACTTCTGGGGTACTAGTGATACTAATTTCTAGACTTAAGTGTTAGTTACATGGATGTTCTGTCCATAATTATTTGTTAAATTGTGTGTTTCCCTATTAGATTTCAAAATTAGAATTTCAAAAAAGAAACAAAAGTACATGGAAAGATTGTACCTGAATTATACCTACAAGTTAGTGAATTTATTAGTAATTACTTAGAGTAATATAATAAATGCTCATTAGTGGTTACCTTAAGATGAATATTTAATTGTCTAAAACCAATTGAAAGTGTTTTATTGTATCTTAAATTATTCAGCATTCAGTATCATCTATTATTGGGAAGATTCCTATATTGAGATGGAGTTTATAATACAGTTATTCTCAAGATTATGTGGTTCTGTGAACTAGCTGTCCCAGGAAGTAATGAGCTACCTTCTCCAGAAATAGTTAAGCAAATTCAGAAATTTCTGTGATGATTTATTGTAAAAAAAAAAAAAAAAAAAAAAAAAAAAAAAAAAAAAGATTCCAAAAGTAGGCAGTTGAATTAAAGTACCCTTAAAATGCCTTCTGACATTAACCAACAATCTAAAAATTTGGATCATGTTGTCATGTATCCCCTCTGAGAATCCTACCACTCTCTTTCTCTGTCTCATTTACTAACATTTATATGGAAGCATGACTCTAAGCAATTGAACATTAGGCATGGAATTATGAAATTAATAATGAAAATATTAAGTTAGGATAATCTACATGACAGGTTTAAAAATGACACTTTGTTGCCCAATTCTTTAAACTTTATCTTCTTGGGAAGTTTGTCTTCTCTACTTGGGATAAAACCATTTGGTAGTTTCCTTGAATTCTCTAAAGACTTTTTTTTTAATCACAAAATAATGAAAAATATATGGCTGACAATCATAGGGCTAAAAATGATGTATGAGAGGCATGTTTTCACCTTAAAAAGAAAGTGTAATAAACTAACCTAAGTCAAGTCTATTAAAAAACTACATGATAAAAGATACAGTTAATGGAAGAGGAGGAAAAAAACTTTGGCCCTTAATAAGCCACTATCTCAATTTATTAGAAGAAAAGAAAAGAACTAGAAAATCCAAAAGCATTGTGCCCTCCTTCAATAGCAACTGGCTAATAACTTGTCTTAGGTTAGAATAACTTAGAAAGATATAATACCAGAAAATGGTTAATAAGCATAAGTGTGTGGAAATAGCTTTGGAAACACTTTGACATCTTGTGAAGATGAATCAGAGACTCACCTTTAACAAGGGATAATTGATACTTGCAACCCATATGTTGGTAAATGGAGCCTCCAGGATAATAGCATCAACTGGGAATCCTTGAAAATAATAAAAAAGAAGTAACTCCTCTATCATATATAAATACTACCTTTCTCAAATAAGGAGTTCTAAGGTCTTGTACATGAATTGCCTATGCCAAAATTATTTGTGAAGCTTATTAATAATGCAGATTCCTGGACTCCACACTAGACTTGAGTCAGTCAAAATCTCAAAGGAGAAGGGTGGAGAATGCACACTTTTTTAAGTAGGCTTCATACCCAGCATGGAGCCCAGGGCAGGGTTTGAACTCACAACCCTGAGATCAAGACCTGAGCTGAGATCAAGAGTTGGATGCTTAACTGACTGAGTCACCCAGGTGCCCCAAGAGTGCTCATTTGTTTTTTATTTTTTATTCTTATTTGTATTTATTAATTTTTTTTTTTTTGAGAGAGAGGCAGAATGTGAGCTGGAAAGGGTCAGAGAGAGAGGAAGACACAGAATCTGAAGCAGGCTCCAGGCTTTGAGCTGTCAGAACAGAGCCCGATGCAGGGCTCAAACTCACAAACCATGAGATCATGACCTGAGCAGAAGTCAGGTGCCCAACCAACTGAGCCACCCAGGCACCCCCAAGAATGCTCATTTTTAACAAGCACCCCCACCCCAAGAGATCTCTATGCACATGATAATTGAAAACCATTACCTTCTTCTAAAACATAAAACCACATTTTCATGACTTAGATAATTTAAGAAAGCAAAGTACTATAGGAAGGGAGATTGTTCTGCAGCTCATTGTTTAGAAAGTACTAGATGCTTACTAGGTTGTTTTCGCCAACACTCCCTCTAAGAACAATGAGAAAATGTGTGTTAGACGGGGATATGAATTTGTATATGTACACAGTAGTCCCCCTTTATCCACAATTTCACTTTCTGCAGTTTCAGTTACCTGCAGTCAAGTATGGTCCAGAAGGAGATAATCCTGCTTCAGTCATATTACCAGAAGGTCAGTAGTAGCCTAACACTACACAATGCCTACAGCATTTGCCTCACTTCATCGTGTAGGTATTTTATCACCTCACATCATCACAGGAACTGAATACAGTACAATGTTTTAAGAAAGAGAGACCATAGTCATATAACTTTTATTACAGTATACTGTTATATATGTTAGTGTGTTATTATTAATCTCTTACTGTTCCTAATTTATATTTTGAGAGAGTGAGAGTGCAAGTAGGATAGGGACAGAGAATCCCAAGCAGGCTCTGTGCTAACAGCACAGAGCCTGATGTGGGGCTTAATCCCATGAACCAGGAGATCGTGACCTGAGCCAAAATCAAGATTCAGACGTTCAACCAACTGAGGCACCCAGGTGTCCTGTGCCTAATTTATAAATTAAACTTTATCAGGGGCACCTGGGTGGCTCAGTCGGTTAAGCATCCAACTTTGGCTCAGGTCATGCTCTCACGGATCGTGGGTTCGAGCCCTGCCTCGGGCTCTGTGCTGACGGCTCAGACCCTGGAGCCTGCTTCGGATTCTGTGTCTCCATCTCTCTGCCCCTCCCCCATGTCCCACATACTCTGTGTGTCTCAAAAATAAACATTAAAAAATTTTTTTCAAAAAAGCTTATCATAAGTATATACATATATGAAAAACATAGTATATATAGGGTTTGGTATTATCTGTGGTTTCAGGCATCCATTGTAGGTCTTGGAACATACTCCCCATGGATAAGGGAGGGCTACTAAATGTATATGTATATGTTTGAAGGCATCTCAGAGCTACTAAATCAATGAGATTTTGAGAGCCAATAACAAAAGAAAAACAGCCACAAGATTTTGAGCTGCTTTTCCCCTCAAAGCAGTTGAAACTTTGAAAGCAACAGTGGTGGCTGCTCATAGAGGCTTAGGTCTAGAGAGAACTTTCAGCATTCCCACAGGATCAAAAGGACAAAAATTAGAGTTCAGAATCTGACAAGAAGGAGGGCTCAAGAAATTTCTCAGACTTTTGTTGGGACTTCAAAGGACTACACCCTGGGAGTAATGGTGAACTAGAAACAGACCAGCTGTCATAAAGACTGAAGCCCAGCTTCAAATCAGCTCAATTTCTGGTTGAATTAAGGTGATCTCCCCTCTATTTTAACTGCCTTTCAGAAGAAAAGTAACTTTGTCTGGAATATTATCCCTAGTCCCTCAAATCACCTCTACAATTTCCATAAACAATGTCTACATTTAATCAAAAATAACTAGGCATACAACAAATAAAAACAAAAACATAAAGAGACCAAAAATACAAAACAACAACAACAACAACAACAGATAACAGAAACAGATCAACAAAGGAAATAGATATTGGCATTATGATATATGGACTTTAAAATAACTTGTAAATAAACTGTAATATAGTAAAATATTTATTAAAATTTTAGTATTTAATAAAATTTGGTATTACATAGTAAATAGTGTACTATGTCAAAAGAAAATATTTAAACTGGAGCACAGGAGCACCTAGGTGTCTCAGTCAGTTGTGTCTGACTTTGGCTCACGTCATGATCTTGAGGTTTGTGAGTCTGAGGCCCGCATCAGGGTCTGTGCTGAAAGCTCACAGCCTAAAGCCTGCTTCAGATTCTGTGTCTCCCTCTCTCTCTCTGCTCTTCCCCCACTCATACTCTGTCTCTCTGTGTCTCTCAAAAATGAATAAACATTTTTTAAAAATTAAAAAAATAAAAATAAACTAGAGCACAAATAGAAAAATGTCTGGAAAACCCAGAAAAGAATATTGGAAACATACAGGACATGGGAACAGATCTAAAAAAATACATATAATTATAGTCCCAGGGGGGAGAGAAGATGAAAAATGGGGTAGGCACAATATTTGAAGATATAATGACCAATTTTCCAAAATGGATGAACATCAAGCCAGAGTTCAGAGGTATTATGAACCCCAAGCAGGATAAGTACTAGGAAACCCACACCTAGGAAAATCACAGTAAAAATGCTGAAAACCAAAGACAAAAAGAATCTCAAAATAACCAGAAGAAAAAGTAAACATTATCTTCAAATTAAGGAGCAGCAGTAAGACTGGAAGCTGACTTCCCAAAGGAATAGTGAAAGCCAGAACAAAACGGATGATGTCTTCAAAGTATTGAAATAAAATAACTACCAACCAAGTATGCCCAATGGAAATATCCTTCAAAAATGAAGATAAAATAAAGATATTTTCAGGCCCAAACTGAGAGAATTCTTCACCACAGACAGGCAGAACAAAAATCCCAAATGAAAGCACAGAAATGCTATAAGTAGTAAAAAGCAAAGAAAAGGGTAAATCTAAATATTGACTTCATACTATAAGAATAGTAATGTTTTATGGTGTGAGTAATAAAGAGGAAATTAAAATACATGATAGCAAGAGTTCATAAGTCAGGAATGTAAATGGAATTAAAGTGTTCTAAGGTCATTGCATTATCTAAGAAGTGAAGTACTCATTTGTGTGAGAATTTAGGTCAAATAAATACAGCATCATCAACACTGTGCAGGAAGTGTGTGCAGGGAGCTATGAGAACTTAGAGGAGCAGGAAATAATATCTGCTTTATTTCCATAACTAAGTAAGACTGCGTATAGCAGGTGACTTGCTTTCAAATGTTATGTAACTCAACCTGACCTGTATTGACAAGTTAGGTTTAAGATATAACGCAAGAGATTACGTGCTTTTAACGTACATCAAAATCCCCTTGTCCTATTCACAGAGATTCTAATTCGTGAAAACAGCTAGGATCCAGGAACTGTGTGCTTATAACAAGCACCTCTGGGGATTCTGATACAGGCAGCTGTCAGAACACTTTGGGAAACACTGACGTAAACGTGATGGAAGAAGGGCTGCAGCAAGCAAGTCCTGCTTGTTATTTCATAAATGTATTTTTTCCTCCCCTATAATCCAAATTACTCCATAGTAACATTTACTTCATAGTGAGGGCTTTTTCAAAGGTAATTTTAACTGTTCCTCAGCATTTACTTTTAATTTCATGATCTTGAAGAGCAACTGTTATTTTATATTAAATAGAAAAAAAAAAGCTTATTACACTATCAGAAACTGTCTCAGGTTGGGGTGCCTGAGGTATCTCTGTGTTCTGAGCGTGCACAGTGTTTACTTTCCCACCCCCAGCTAAGAAATAACGTGTGAGCATTTTATGGTACCTTTCTCTTCCAGTACTTTTGCGGCATTGGTTGCAACTCTGTAAAGCAATGAAAATTAGTACATTTGTGAAGCAGTAACTTAACAGTCAAGTAAACAGTACAGACATCCAATATGAGCATCTGATGAAAGCTCTGGACCCTCCGGTAGAACACAGACAAAATTTTGCATAGGATTTCAAGGAGTTCCACTGGCCCTAAATTAAGAATCCTTTTCTTTAAAACTCTCAAGGAGAGTTCTGGAATGGGTTTCAGTGTCACACATGACCATAGAGCTACACCCTCCCGTGCATTACAAACTAGCACCTGCGATGGCAATATCTCTAGCCACATGTGGGATGTGAGAGAAACCAGAGCCCCCTCTCCTGGCTCAGTGCTCCCTCTTCTGTGCACTGCTGCCTTTGATATGACACCAAAGTCCTAAGGACCCACTTAAAGCCATCTTCAGACCCCACTTACCCTGTACCCAGAGAGTGGCCCCAGAGACACACAGGGGTGGTACCACATCTCGCCTTGGTCCACTCATAGACACAAATAGCATCTGCAGTCAGCCCCTCCTCTGTGGGCTTCCCTGTGGAGTCCCCGAACCCTGGCAGTAAGGAAAGACAAGCACAGAATCACTACCTCCAAAACCGGGGCCATCAAAAGCCCTCCTGCTTATTGAAAAGTCCTTATATACTGTTCTTAACACATACCTCTGTAGTCCACAGACAGGACATGAAAGCCACCGTCACTCAGCACCTAGATGACAAAGGAGCTGTTACCATTTTAATTAGGGGGTGTAAACAGAAAACGTGGTATAACCTCCTCAACACTTCCATAAAACTAGTTGTGATGGTTTCATGGGCAGGGAATAGATGAAATCTGCTGCCTGGCTTCAAATGTGAGAAGGTCAGACTCAACAGGAAAGGAGCGAGGTGGGGGCAGAGCAGGGTCAGACAGCCTGCTCACACCCCGGCTGTGCCCCTTACTGGCTGTGTGACCTTGAGCAAGCCACTAAACATCTGAATATGTAAATATTATTCTGAAAAGTGAAAAACACTAGTGGCTATCTTCAGGATTGTTGGAAGATTACGTGAAATGACATATTAAAGTATCTTGGTACATAATAAATGTCTGTTTCAAGAATTCCCTTGAGAACAGAAGGTCTACACAGAGTTGTAGCAGAGGAGTCAAATAATGGGAAGATATTTATATTAAATATGAACAAAGAGTTAATATCAATCAAAAATAAACAGATTGCCTGATTCTGTGAAACCATTGCCAAGCCCCAAGTGGATGAATGAGGAAGGAATACGAAAATATAATTTCAAATGAAATGAATTGCAATGATAGACAAAGAGAAAAGGGGGACATAAATGGAAAATGTTCTTTAATCGTCACAATAGTCCCTAAAAGGTAGGTGTTATCCCCATTTTATAGATAAAGAAATTGAGTCCGAGGGTTTAGGTTAGTTCTTGGTCACCCCAATGGCTAGAGGCAGAACCAGGATTCACACCTGGGACTGCTTGTGTCCAAACACTGCACTTCCCCTACCATTGCATAGAGGTAGGTAGCTGAATCTCACTAGGAATCTTTAAATATAAGTCCAACCAATAATGAGAAACTAAGTGAAACTTTGTAATATCTCCAAAATAGTTATCCAAGACACAGAGCAGTTAGGCATCCGGGGAAATTGGAGTATTCACCTGATCACTATACAATGAAAGACCACTTGATGAAACAACTCAAGAACGGTAACAGATCTTACTCCTAAGAATTGATCTCTAGGAGAAAATTCCAAAAGAAGAATAAACTAAAGGCTTAAAGTTTTCTCTATCAATATTATTTAAATGATTTTAGCAGGGGGACTATTGACTTTATAATTAGATAATGTTGTATCTAAGAACAGTGGAATAGTTAAGTAAGTAAACAATTGTCAATAAATATAATGGAGAATGATCACCTTTTAAATTAGTGACTATGACAACTATGGGAAAACATGGAACAATGTTTATAATGTAGTATTAAGTAAGAGCACAACATAAAATTACATGCAGATGCAATCACAGTTATATAACAACTTTATATAAAGAGATAAAGACGGTAAGGTGGATTACAAATTAATGAAAACAGCCGTGTTGAATGACTGAAGCTATGAATGAATGGATGAATGAATGAGACAATGAGAAGGAGGGAAGGAAGGAAGGCAAGAAGAAAGAGAGGAACGACAACAATAGTAAAGATCTAATTTTTTTAAGTTTATGTATTTTGAGAGAGCGAGAGAGGGCACATACGTGAATGGGGAAGGGCAGAGAGGAGAGAGAGAGAGAGAGAGAGAGTGTCCCAAGCAGGTTCCACACTGTCAACGCAAAGCCTGACACAGGGCTCGAACTCATGAACTGTGAGATCATGACTGGGCACAAATCAAGAGTCGGACACTTAACCGACTGAGCCGTCCAGGTACCCCAAGATTTAATTTTTAAAGGAAATCATCCATTCAAAGAAGAGAATGAAGGACTAAGATGTTTGGTCAGGCTGGGAAATGATGACCACGGCACAAGGTATCCAGGGTCGGCCTGGGGGAAGAAGTCTTATCATACCTTTCCCTCCCACCCCAACTACCACAAGCATGACCTGGCTACTTTTCACACCTACACCTACGACTCTTTTCCTTTCTGTGCACACAGGGGATATACAATTCAGCTTTGCCAAGAGTGGGAGAGGGAAAAACACATGTTCTCATGGACATCAGCTTCACCACCATCTGGCCTGGGAAGTGTGGAGAGTGAGGTGCAGGGTAGAAAGCAAACCTAAAAATTAATAGACATGATCATCCCAGGCAGAACTGCATCCAGACCACCACTCCTCCGCAAGAGTCAGTCTGAGAAGGCAGTGAAGACAGGGAGGAGTAGACAAGAGAGGAGTTTCTTGTCTGAATAAGGGAGGGAGGATGAAGGGGGCACTTGGCCATGCTGGGCCTGGCAGGATTCCCATTAACGCTGTCACGCCAAGAAAGGGCTCTGAGGTGGGAGGGTGTGTGGGAGGAGAGATCAGGTCCTGCGGTCAATAACTGGACAAGCAGCCTGGTCACCTGAGGGAGAGGTGACCCAATCAGGGTGTGGGAGAAGATGAACAGGTAGCTGCCCTACTAGCCATGAGTCAGATATGGCTGAGTGGAAAGCCTGCTCCCTCACACTTGGAAATGCAGGGGCCGTGCCCCACAAACTGTAGTCAAGTAGCAGGCTAGCGAGAAGAGCAGTGTGGCCACCATTTCACTTGCAAAACCCTTCATGGGACTGAAGCCAGAGCCTGAATGACTTTTTTTTTTTTTTAAATGTTTATTTATATGTGAGAGAGAGAGCACGAAAGACAGAGTGAAAGAGAGAGGGAGACACAGGATCTGAAGTAGGCTCCAGGCTCTGAGCTGTCAGCACAGAGCCTGACACAGGGCTGGAATCCTCAAACCGTGAGATCATGACCTGAGCTGAAGTTGGACACTTAACCGAGTCACCCAGGTGCCCCCTGAATGACTTTTAAAAGCAGACATTCAATGTCTTTATCCTCTTCCACCAAAAGAAAAAAAAGGAGGGGGGGGCTGTTTCCCATAGGAGTAACTTTCACATTTAATATACTTTCTCAACCCTCCTCCCAGCCCTCAGAAAAATCAAATAGGTCTTCAACTCCATCCGGTGATGAAGGTAATATATTTATGAAAGTGTTTTGGTTCTCAGAGATGTTCACTTCTGTTTTCATCCCCCGTGGTGACTGCAGGAAGAGAAACCCATGTGAGGGACTTTGAGCCCTAGACATCAAACCCACTCTCAGGAGCTCTCAGTAGATATCCGTGCTGAGGGCTGAGAAAGATCTGTGGCTGTAGCCCAAAAGAGAAAAAATAAAGACATAGAATTGGTACCTTGAGGCCCCTTCAGACATACCTTTACGAGCTTAAGTCTGTGAGGAGCTGCCCTGTAAAGGAGGTAAAAAAAAAACAATTAAAAAAAAAAAAAAAAAAGAGCAAGAATTAGGAATTACCATGACAAACCCAATAAAAATCACTATCATGGTTCTGGCATCTGACCTCATGCCTTTCTTTTTCAGGTTAGAAAAGTAAATAACTAGGAGGAAGGGAAATGGTTTTTGGTGTCATAGCCCACTTGGATGTGTCAGGGTGAATGATGGATGGCTCCCCACTGCTGCTGTGTGCGTCTGTATGGGTGCCGGATGCCCAGGTGGCCAGTGCTTCTCAAAAGAGACATGTGATTAACTACTGGTAATCCACTTCCTTTCACTGCTACACAGCAAAACTTATTTCTAAGAATACTTTTAGAAGCTAAAGGAAAATCAGTTCTGGAAAGTGGCTTTTCAGAACAAAGGATGACACAGCGATGTTCACTAAACTAAGATGTGCCTGTACCCTGTTCACCCTGCCAGTAAGTGCAAGATGAAGTGAAGGAGACAGACTCACAGTCCCGAAGGTACAAGAAACCCTTTTTCCCCCAAATAACCGTATCATCTACTCTCTATTAATAAAAGGGAGACAAAGATGATTCAAAAGGCAGAGGATTCTTTTAAAAACCATTTGAATTTTTGTTTTAGAGCCAAATGTCTTCAACTTCCGTGGATCATGGAGCCCTTAAAACATGTAATTAAAGCTATGGGCCCATTTCCCAGAAAAATATATCCACACCTGACATTTTCTGTACAATTTTGTGGAAGAGGTTCATGGACCCTCCGGGGTTTTTCTCTGGGTCCCAAGTCTAGAACCACTATTTTCAACAAGGTCCTGGTGACCTCCCATTTGGCCTCCTTTTGGCTCAGTACTGCTGGTAGCAAGCTGAGACTTCTGGCAGGGAACAGGAAGAAGCTGGGGCTAACCCCAGAGCCAGTAAATCTGGGATAACAGCAGATTCACACAGAGGGTCAGAAATGAACGTGTGGGCAAATACATACACTGTAGCACCGTGCCCAAGTTTGCCCAATCAGAACAATGTTAAACAGTGTTGAAAGATGTTGAATTTCATGGAAAGCCTCTGTAAATCTCTCTCTAAAATGGACATCTCCTGAAAGCCCTTGGTGCAAAGTCAAGTCTTGAGAAAGCCATCAAGACAGAAAAAGAGAGTGAAAAAAAGACACAGGCAACAGAGCCTAGGGGCAGATTCCAGAGCTTGTCACTTAGTGTGCAATGTCCCTTCAGAGACAGAGCTGGGTCTGTAGGTCTCTGAGGCACGTCACCCCTCCCCCAACCCAAAGCGATGCAGTCACAGCTGATAATCATCACCGATGACAGGCCCACTGGAGGCTCTGGCAGCACATCAAAAGGGAGCAGGACTTCAGGGAGGCGTTCTTTGTTACAAAGCAAGGATGGAACAACAGAGAGTGGGCTGAGGCATCAGTATGCTAGACTAGAACCAGTCAGATGGTCCCCAGTACCAGTGGTCAGAATTCCAGATGATGTCTCATAGGGAGTCCATGCATTTGATTAATAGGATGCATGGTAATTAAGGAATCTCCATGTACTTCTGTGAGAAGACCATTGATATGGAAATTGCTCTCCTTTTCCCCATATCTCATGCCTGTTCCCTTTCCAGTTATCCGTGGGCTCAGTTCATCATTTCAGACACTCTTTGGAGTAAAGGAACCACTGCCTTCCTTGAAATTGGGATCCAAATTTTAGAAGTTAGTCTTTCAGTTAAAGATCTACTTTATTCTACATATGGAATATGTAGGGTTTTTTTTAAGAGAAGCCTATTGCCAGAACGCCCTCAAATTTCCACAAAGGAAAAAAGACTATATGGAGGCATGCTTACAGAATTGAAAACTGAGCTCTGCCTTTTATTCCCCTATGGGGATGAAATGCTACCTCTCTCTTTAAAAAACAAAAAACTCCAAGCAAAGGCACTGACCTATGTTCCGCGCTTCCATGAAGATAAACAATGATTGGATTGCCATCATGAAGGGCTGCTTCGTACCAGCAACGGTCCTTTCCCTTCGCATCCTCACCCCGGCAGCTGGGAACCGTGTGCCTGAAGAGCAAGGAAAGGTTTTAACAAACAGAGGGAATTGGCTTTCCTAGCCAAAGTCTGAAGCCCTCCTTACGTCAATCATAGATATAGATTTATATGTTTATATATGTATAAATATACACTACATATTTATGTATAGAAATTTCTGAGTATTATATGCACCTGGTAAAAATTAAAATATAATACCACAAACATCTTACAGTGAAAACCACTACTCTACCCCACCTCCCTCATGCACAGAAACAATCCCTTTTAACCATTAATCTTCCAAGACTGCGAATCTTAGGTGCTGTCCATTGAAATGAAGTCCATTGGGTGGAAACAAGTAAAAGACAATAGGTATTTGTCACCTGCTGTTTGTTTCACTGAAAAAAACAAGTTGAAAGAATTTAAAGGGAAACCAGTTTAGGTAGGAAAAAAGAACTTTAGTGTGAAATGAAGCTGTTCTCCAGAAAGCTGTGACCTTGTGATTTTAAACACCTGCCTAAACACCAGTTCCTCCACCCTGTTAAATCGGTGAACGAATCCTGAGGACGCAAATCCTGCCATAAGACATGTCACAAAGGGACTTGGAGAATTGGCTACGTAATGATAAATCTTCAGTCCTCTCAACCGTTTAGGGGCACAAAGTCTGACATCAAACCCATCAGCACCGAGAGGACAGGCATCACTGCCAGCTGGATAAGCCAGGGCAGGAGCAAAGAATAAAAAGATTTTCAAATGCCAGCACAATTAGCTGAACCACACGGTGCACATTAGGAAGAAGTTATGTGAACCCATGTTGGTTTCCACACATTCTAGGAACACACGTTTGAACTCAGGAAGAGGAAGCATAAAACAGGACACTGGAAAAATGGCAGCCAAGAACAAGTAGTAGAACCAAACAGAAAAAAATATTGACATTAGCATAGCAAAAAAAAAGCAATAGAACACTCATGATTTTGACAGTTGAGTGTCTTCTCTGTGCCAAGCACTGTGCTAAGCAGTGAAAACCCGCCAACAAAGTCACCTACAAAAGTTACAGTCTTGTAAAGAAGACTGACATTAACCAAATAATCGCACAAGCACTGATTGAATTACCGTGGGAATAAATGCCGTACAGGACAAGCACAGGTGGCCCAAAATGGGAGATGAGGCAGGGCTTCGTTGAAAATTACCAAATTACCATTGAAATGGAGACCCTGAAGATGAGTAGGCAGTTAGCTGGCCGAAAGGAGGGAGCAAAGTGTTGCACTCAGAGCATATCCTGCGAGAGCGTGGCTTGGTGTGCAAGGAGGCCAGCAGGTCTGCAATAGTGTAGGAAGGCTGGTGTGGAATAAGGCAGAAGAGTGAGGCAAGGCAGGTCCTTCAGACCCGGTGAAAGAGCCAATGCACAGAGCAACACCCAAAAGACTTTGCACTCCAAGGTAAAATTAGTGAGAAGCAAATTCAGGTAGGTCAGATATCCGTACAAAGGGGAGGTATATGGAACAGCAAGAAACACCAACCTCTCCACAGGTGACTCACACCGTGCTGCTCACCCGTGCCCTTGTAACATGAAAACCATGTCCGTGAAGCGGCCCAGTGTCCCTCAGTGCACTCACCAGATTCCCAGAATCACCCCAGGTTCGACTCTGATATAGAAGTTCACTGTGTGAGCAATCTTTAACTCCGGTCTCTTTAAATCCACAAGAAAGGGTGCTTTGACTAGAAAGCAGAAGTCATTATCAACACCCCAAATCAAATCCCGTGTTTTTTAATCACTATCGAAAAAAGTAGTTAGTCTCATGGTTAACATGGTTTCTAAGTTGCAAGCTACCACACGAAATTCTTAGCAAAGTATTTTACTTTATAAACTAGGAGTAGCCCACAGGAGAGGTGCCAAAACAAAAACAAGAAAACAAGAAAACAAAAACCCTAAAGCAAGATTTTAAAATAGCACCAGTGTGATAGGCCATAATAGAGTTTATTCAATCCTTAGCCTAGTCTTAAGCTAAAAACAAAGACTATTCCCCTAAAAAGTTAAGAGGGTCTAGAAGAAAGGAATGAGTATTCTTCCTATGTCAAGCGTTACTGTTTCCACTAAATAAAATCTAATCATGAGCCACAAACCATGAGATGGCCAGAATCAACATACCTGTGGGACCAGGCAGTGAGAGCAGTGGCTGTGTGCTGGAAGGACTGTGTTGTTACAATGTACACTGTTACATTAATTAACAGCACTCAGTAGAAAAAACACAGGAAAACAGATTACTCACATCAGTGTCTCCCCACCCTAGCTCTCTGCTTTCTCTCTCTTTCAAGGGGTACAGGTAAAATGAAGAAGCAAGAAAGTAGAGAATACACCAAGCAGTAAGGTATCCATATTACCAGCTAATATGAAGACTGAGCTCCTGAAGTTAAACCCCACCCACAAGGCCATGTTTTTCTATCCATCTCCCCCCAACAGTTTGCAAGGATTCATGCTAGACCCCAAAGCCAGTGTTAAACAGGTTTCAGATCATTGAAATCTAGCCACAATTTTATTTTTTTAATTTTTGAGAGAGAGAGAAAGTGTGAGAGAGAGAGGAGCAGAGAGAGTGGGAAAGAGAGAATCCCAAGCAGACTCCACACTGTCAGTGTGGAGCCTGACACAGGGCTCGAACCCATAAACTGTGAGATCACAACCTGATCTGAAATCAGACGCTAAACTGAGCCACCCAGACGCTCCTCTAGCTACAATTTTATAGCTGACATGCCTTTTTCATTGTCACAACTTAAAGGGCAGTGAGGTCTTTATTTGGGAAAAAATATATAGGCAAATTAATGAAAAATATATACTTACAAAAATTAAAAAATATTAGCATGTTCATCAAAGGAGGAAAAATGTGTTCTTTTAACGGTTTACTAGTAAAGCTGTTGTACAGAGCCGCAATTTTTCTTCCTAGTGTTAAACAGGAACATGGAATAGATCTGAAAGATATTGTGAAACAAAAACAAGGTGTTCAAAATCAGTCCAAGTTTTGTCTTGGTGTGGTTTTTCTCTTAACAACCAAATAGAATTTCAGAGACTAACACTGGGAATTACAGGTGACTTGGCATTAAAGCAAAATGTTTTACAGAATTGTAGGTCATTAGGACAGATCAGGATTGGGCACTAAGGAGAATAGGAAAGGAAGGCAATAAATCAAGGCTCCAACCAGCTGCTGAAAAAGCCCAGGTTTCACAGAACAGAAGTGGGAGGGGGCATGAATGCACCAGGGTCAGGCCCGTTCCCCCAGTGCATCCCCAAAGAAGACCAAGGCTGGACCCCAAAGTCATCAGGAAATAGGATGCAGACTACTAACAGGTGCCACAGTCTTTGATCACATCACGATTTAGTGCTGTATGTGTTAACTATTATTAGTCTAAAGCAGTGCATGAAAAATCATCAGATTCCCCAGTCTTCTGGCTGGGTCTTAAGAAGAAATGAACTAATGAAAGAAAAACCCCCACTTCTGACGTGACATCCCAGGTAAGAGTGGCTGTGAGGAGCAGGATGGGGAGCAGGGGAGTACCTGGAGGTTGTTGCTGCATCAGGGCGGGGGCCTGGTCAGGAAATGGGACACAGCAGGCCATACACATTTTGTTTATTGTACTGTTTGTTCCCATGACACAAACCACCCAAACCAGGAGCCATCAGCAGACAAGTTAGTTAGGACTTGTCCATGAGGGGTCACTAATGCCACCTTGGTCTCGAGCCACATCTCTTATGAGGGTTGAATGCCTCCTACCTTTGAGAAACGAGGGACACAGGAAGTCAGTGTCACCACTTCCTGCTTCCAGTTTTTATCCACATCATCCATTAAAGAAATCCCTTTCCCTCTTTCATGCTGTCAATGTAAAAGACTGCTCAGTGTAATCAAATCATGAGGTTGTGGGACTGGAAAGCATTTTGGATGCACTGTTTCCCCACCCCCACCCCCCACCCCCGCCCCACCCTGATTTCTCTGCTAGACCAGAGCATTTTAAAAGATAGCTGTTGTTACCTGCAATTTGCAAATGAGGAGACTGAAAAGTTTAAGTAAGTTCCCCAATGCCACAGAGCCAATGAATGGCCGAGTCACGTGTACCCAGGTCGGTGTGACCCCAGAGTTCTATGAAGATGTCCAATGAGCTGTCACAGTCCCGGTGAATGCTGCTTGCCATCCACACAGGCACAAATGAACCTCAAGAACAAGGCTGGCTTCTGGCAACAAAATTCAGTCCTTAGAGGAAGTTGTTTCAGGACCACCCCCACTCCCGCCTTCTCCCCTTCTGCACCCTTGGCCTTTCTTAGGGTCCATTCTTCCTCCCACACTCTTCTCCCTTCCTGTTCCTGTGTCCTCAAGGAGACTTCTGACTCCAAAGTCATCAAAGAAAGACCTCTAAAAAGAAATTCTCCCTCGTATTAATACTAAAAATTCAGAGTGCTTATATGTCTGGAAGAGGCATGAAGGGAGATCATGCATCGCCAATGAATTTCCAGAAATTCTGCAGGCTGTGGAAAAGAGACGTGGGCTAAGTGTAATGGGTAGCCCTCCAAGTAGCAGGCACAGGCAACTGCCTATGCCTAAAATCAGCAAGGAGAAAATGAAAATGATTGTTTCATAATACTTTAAAATAGCCTCCATGAAGGAGGTGGGAAGGAGAGGACATTGTTGTTCTGATTTTAGAGATAAGAAACCAACACCCCAGAGAAGCCGCTTTGAGCCCCAGATCAAGTCCAGACGGGCAGAACGGAACACAGGTTGAATTCTTATGCTTCCTTCCAGTTGGCTGGCTCAGGCTTGCTTTCTCCTGATTCTGAACTCACGCTACCCTGCCTGTTAGTCTCCCGCTAAGTTATCTTTTGAAGGTAGCAGGGTGCTTGGGAAGCAGAGGCAGTAGAGGGAAATATGTTTCTGTTTTTAAAGAATAATTCATACAGGACCCTTCTCTCAAATAGCTCAAGGCACTTCTGTGAGAAGCACTGCGGGAAAAGAACAGAGTGACCAGATCCCTCGGAGCATCAATAATGCACAGCAACTTCTTTTAACTAGGGGTTGTCAATTTGACTTCCCCTAGATCAGCGGGGAATCAAAAGTCACCAGTGGCTAACAGACCTTATTTGAGTGGAGGATGCAATTTCAGCCCAATCCCCGCTAACGGCCAGCCACATCAAACAGCCACCTTGATGCTTTGGTGTTCTTTCGCCTGCCCTTTGATCAGCTGTGGCTGTAACTGCACAGCATCCCACAGGGGCCACAGAACCTAACTGGATCATTCTTACCTTGGAACCTGAGTTGCTGCAGGGCGAATCATTCATGTTCACACTCAGAGGCACCAGCTTTAGGAAGCCCAACTCTAACCCCATTTGGCAAGACAGCTATTCCAAATAGTAAGACAATGCCACACAGGCGTCCCATGTACCCATTCATTCAGCCAACATGAACTGATCACCGAGCACCTAAGTTATACCTGTGTTCTCCTCCCTTCTTTCCTCCCAACCAAATCCTCCCCTTCCATCCATCCACTCAAGGGTTTCTTCTTTGTTGAAGCCTCTCTCTGAGATAGACCTTCCCACGGTGACCTTCCCTCTCTTTTCACCCCTCCCACTAATTATAATTGGGCCTCAGTTTGACCTGTAATTGTTCTCCAGTTGTTTTCCCACTATCAGTCCTGCGTTCCCACTGACGAGAACCACATGGCATATAGTGCTGTTTTTACGGTGCTCCCTGTCTAGCTCAGGTCCGAGAACTGTCCTGCAAGTGGATCTCTCTCCTAATGGAGAAGGAAGCAATGCGTATTAGTAGCTTCAGGGTAGAGAAGAAGGGCTTCATTCTCTTTTCTGAATTACAGTTGAAAATTAATCAATGGGAGGGACAACCGGGTGGCTCAGTCAGTTGAGCGTCCAACTTCGGCTCAGATCATGATCTCACAGTTCATGAGTTTGGGCCTCGCATCGGGCTCTGTGCTGACAGCTCGGAGTCTGGAGCCTGTTTCGGATTCTGTGTCTCCCTCTCTCTCTGCCCCTCCCCCGCTCATGCTCTGTCTCTCCCTCTCTCTCTCTCTCTCACTCTCAAAAATAAATAATAAAACATTTAAAATTTTTTAAAGAAAAAAAGAAAAGAAAATTAATCAACGTGAGCTTCACAAGAGCAGGGATTTGTGCCAGTTTTATTTACTTCTTTGTGCCCAAGCCTAAACTAGTGCCCAACAGGGAGGTGACGGCCAGTGCTGTGGAAAGAATGAATCCATCTATCAGCCTGCTCATGGGGTCGGGGGGTATTCTTAAATTATCCAGAAATGCGAAGACTCGGGGTGAATGGGGAGCAACGAAGAGGGAAATAGCCCATTGGCTTCCCTCAGCTTCTTTCCTGAGCACATTTCCCATTTTTCTAGTTTGAAGAAAACCAATTGCAAGTGAAGATTTACTCTCCTGGACCCGTCTATCTTAAGTAGCAACTACACCTTATGAAATATTTGCAAAATAAACAGATCCCCAAGGCATTAAAAAATAATCACTGAAAACACCTTTTCATTAAATGTTTTCCTTGAGTCACACAACACATCACAATAGATCCTGTGCGACTAGCAGTTCAAAACGCAGGGCCAGCCCTCCATGAATGCTTGCGGATCTAAACCAACTTGGCTCCAAGAAACAAAAGGATCCAGGATGCTGGATATCGGTCTGTGCTTCAGCCTCAGCAGGTCTTAAATTAGAGCAGTAGAGATGACGAAATGTGCTTGTATCTTATTCTTTCAGGAAGCATCTCCTGAGACTTATTTTTTAGTAATTAGTAAAGCAAGTAAGAGAGGGTCCCCAATTCCCCATGTCCCATTCCATTATCAACAAAGTGGATTGTTCTCTAAAAGCATGAACTGCAGGTTTGATTCTCTGCCAAATAAATGTTAAATAATCAGCGGCCAACTCTAGAGAGAGCATGAGAGATAAAGCAGAAAATGCCAGCTTTTTCAGAACAACCATGTCAAGGAGGTAAGGCCCAGGAATGTGAAGTTGAAAAGTGTAATCAGTCAGGATATTCTGACTAATGGTCAGTGTGGGTCTACACTGCTGACCCAGGGGAGAGCTGCTCTCTGCTCCAGAAGGAATAGAAGAGACAAGATCGGTTTTAGTCTTCATCACTCAGACATTCCAAAGTGAAGTCCCTGGTGTCTGGATGTGACTCTTGGATATTTTGTAATCAGCAATAAACAAAACATAGGAATATAAAGGAAGGTGAACAGAAATGTCAATACCTTCCCACCCCAACAAAACAAATCAAGATACTGAGTCTCCTGAGTCCAGGGTCTCTAACCAACACCTGGCTTCAATGCAAATGAGACTGGCAATATATTGCTGGTCGATTCAGGGTAGTTTAACATTACTGTTAAAGCCACGGATTTAAAATAGGAGAAAGAATAAGTTTAAACCCACTGATACAGACATTTCAGAGTTAAAAGGATGTAAGAACTTGGCACAGGTATGGTTTCAATGCACTATACATTTTTAGCATTATGGAGGGATGTTCTTTAAATACATCCAAGAGAGTTCCCCCTGGGGGAGCTGGCCTTCCACCCACACAGACAGGCCTTTGACCTAAGTGGATGCCATCTAAGAGTCATGGTAGATTCGTATTGTCACACATAGGTCTTTTTAAAACTCCGCCCGGAATTTTAGCACAATGGTCAAAGCAGGTAAGAGACCGGTAGAGGAACCTGAGCCATCTTTCTGGAAATCTCTATTTCAGAAACCCCAAGGGGATGTAAGCTCCTGAAAAAGCAAACCCTAGAGGCTCGCGGGGGTGGAACAGGCGCCGAGGCGAAGGATCACGCGGCCCAAAGGGCGCCGGGGCTCGCAGGGCTCTGGGGGCCCCGAACCCTGCGGGGAGCCCCAGGGCTAGGTCCGCCCGCCGCCTGGGGCCCGATGCGCCCTGCCCATCCCCGGGGCTCAAGGCGGGAGGACGACGGGGCGCCGGGCCCTGCGCGCGGCCAGCACTCACCGCAGGTTCCGCGCCACCATTTCCCACCAGGCGGCCGCGCAGTCCCGCGCGTCCATCTCGGCGCCGCGCCTTGTGCCCAGCCGCCACCGCGGAGCCCCGGCCGGGAGCCCGAGCCACCCCCGCGGGCGCCCGGCCCGCCCTCCTCCCCCGCGCGGGGGCCCTGTCGGCTGCAGGCCTGGGGCGGGCCTCGGGGTTCCGTCTGCTGGCGGCGTGACCCGCGCCCCCCGGCTGTGCTGGAGAAGCCAGTCACC